TAGCAGAATCAGATTAAGCCTGTCCTTTTAGCGTTCGTGATAAATTAATTAATCAGTTGATGCCTGGTCAGGGAAACAAACACATTTAACCCAGAATTACAGGGTTGGAAGGGACCTTGGAGATCTTCTAGTCCAACCCCTTGCTCGAGCAGGAGACTTATACCATCCAGGCATATTTTCCTGGGAGCCCAACAAAGCCTCCACCAAGGCTAAGCTAAGAGATATGAGGGCCCCAGGGAGTCTCCGGGCAGCCCACTCCGGCCCTCTAAAGCAGAGGCCTCCATCAGGCTTCTGCCTTTCGCCTGGAGACGGGGCGGGGGTGTTTGCTTTGGCTTCCGCTCCCCGTAAAGCCCTCTTAGAGAGCAATTATACCTTAGATGGAATCAGAAGCTTCCAAACTCTTCATTCGCCTTGCAGTACCAACACAGCAATTATCTGTGGGTCCAGATAGCACAGCGAGGAGCGAAAGGGGCGGAGGGGGGGGGGGCAGGATAGAGGACCATATTTTACTTAAACACTAAATACTATGCTGCCCAAATGACACATGAAACGATGCAACAACACACTTGAACCTTCTCCAGCCTATCTCACAGCCCACGCAGGGGAGTTTGAAGTGCATCCATGCGGCCACATCCACATCCATTGTGTGTCCCAAGCACACAATCTAGGGAATTCCCCGCTATCCAGTCAGAGCCAAAGAAGCTTCTTGGATGAGAAGTGAAACGTCTTCAAAGAAAAACCAGAAAGTCCAGTTGCCTCTTGGTGGTGGGGTGGGGGAGCACCTTTGGCTAACGGAAGGAACTGGATTTGCAAACAGTCTGAGAACAAGCAAAACCTAATTAAGGAAGCTTTGTGTGCAAATGACCTGGGTCGGAATGAGGAGAACCCCCATGGCTGAGGATGGGGTTTTCTGACTTCCCATCCTCACCCCAAAATGGCCAGCTGATGAAATACACTGAAATGAATTTGCAGGAGGAAAACTAAAATCAGTCCCAACAGTAAGAACCACTCAGCAGTGGACTCTCCTGGAAAGTACCGAGATCTTCTTTGCGAGAGACATTCAGGAAAAGGTGGGAGGGGGGCTTTGCTGGGGTGGGGCATAATTTTATCCTGCACTGCACTAAGGATGACGAGGGTCTGGCAGGTGTACAAAAAAGCAGATTCTGGCTTCCTGCCATCATCTAATGAGCAGTCAATATGACTTCCTCTTTCCTCCACGCTGCCCCCCCCCCCACTGGAAATAATCTCTTGGAAGGAGAAAGACTGGAGATCTCTGCATCCCCAGGACCATCTGCCTTCCACGGGCTGTCCAGTCTCTTCTGAAAACTTCCAGTGGTGGAGCACCCATAACTTGGAAAGTGGCCACTGGGACGGCTTCCCTCCAGAGGTTGTGGGTGTTGCATCACTGGAGGCCATTAAGAAGAGATTGGACCACCATGTGCCTGGAATGGTCTAGGGCAGAGGTCTTCAAACGTAGCAACTTTAAGACTTGTGGACTTCAACTCCCAGAATTCTCCAGCCAGCCCGTGAAGACCAGCTGGCCAACACCCATGTGCGTGCTGGAAACCAGACGAGCAGCTGGCGACAGCGCACGTATCCCCAGAGAGGGCTTTGCATGCCACCTCTGGCATGTGTGCCACCGGTTCTCCATCATGGGTCTAGGGTCTCCTGCTAGAGAATGGGGTTGGACTAGAAGACCTCCCTTCTCTTTTTCCCTTGTCCTGCAGTCGATGCCTCGGGTGCAATCCCAGAAACAATTGGGGCCTCAGCATTGACCAAATCATCGGGAGCCAATGGCAAAAGGCAGCTTTCCTTGGAAAGGCTCACATCCTGCGACGCCTCCTTTAACCCCATCACACCACAACATCTGCCTTTCCCAGGAAGGACTCAGTAGGTGGATAAAAATGCCAAATACAGTCCAAACATCTGGCTGACTGTGCCATGAACCATCATAGTGATCATAAGAATGAGAAAACAATTGTAGCCTTCTGAAAAACAATAGAGAGCATTTCAAGGACTAAGCAGTCAAAGCAGTTGGGTTTGGGGAGAAAATGTCATGGCGGATCGTATCTACTTATTGTCCCCTCGATGAAATGGGCCTGGCGCAGAAGGCAGGTCATCTGCTAATCAACAAAGCTCCTCACCCCCTTTTCTCTCTTGACTGGCCCTGAAGTGTCTGGGAAGCAGCAATAGGAGGCAGTTCTTTTCTTTCTTTTTTTCAATCTCTCTCTATCTCACTTTCTTCTTTCTTTCTATTTCTTTCTCACTTTCTTCTTTCTTTATATCTCTCTTTCTCTTTCTTTATCTCTCTCTTTCTATCCCTCTCTCACTTTCTTTCTTTCTTTCTCTCTCTCTTTCTTCTTTCTTTCTTTCTCTCTTTCCTCTCTCTCTCTCCCTCACTTTCTTCTTTCTTTTTCTTTCTATCTTTCTTTCTGTCTCTTCTTTCATTCTTTCTTTCAATCTCTCTCTTTCTCACTTTCTTCTTTCTTTCTATCTCTCTTTCTTTCTTCTTTTTATATCTCTCTTTCTATTCCTCTCTCACTTTCTTCTTTCCTTCCTTCTTTCTTTCTCTCTCCTTTCTTTCTATCTTTCTTTCTTTCTCTCTCTCTCTCTTTCTTCTTTCTTTCTCTCTCTTTCTCTCTCTTCTTTCTTTCTTTCTTTCTTTCTATCCCTCTCTCTCTTCTTTCCTTCTTTCTTTCTTTTTCTCTCTCCCTCTTTCTCTCTCTTTCTCTCTCTGCTTTCTTTCTTTTTCTCTTTCTCTCTCTTTCTTCTTCCTTCCTTTCTTTCTTTCAAACTTTCTCACTTTCTTCTTTCTTTTTCTTTCTATCTTTCTCTCTCTCTTTCTTTCTATCTCTCTTTCTTTGTCTCTCTTTCTATCTTTCTATCTATCTCTCTTTCTTTCTTTTTCTTTCTATTTCTCTCTCACACTTTCTTCTTTATTTCTATATATCTATCTCTCTTTCTCTTTCATTGTATCTCTCTTTCTATCCCTCTCTCTTTCTTCTTTCCTTCCTTCCTTCCTTCCTTCTTTCTTTCTTTCCTTTTCTCTCTCTTTCTCTCTTCTTTCTTTCTTTCTCTTTCTTTCTCTCTCTTTCTCTCTCACTTTTTTTCTTTCTTTCTCTCTCTTTCTCTCTCCTTTCTTTTTCTTTCTATCTATCTCTCTTTCTTCTTTCTTTATATCTCTCTTTGTATCCCTCTCTCTTTCTTCTTTCCTTCTTTCTTTCTCTCTTTTTCTTCTTTCTTTCTATCTCTTTTTCTCTCTTTCTTTTGATCTTTCTATCTCTCAATCTCTCACTTTCTTATTTCTTTCTATATCTCTTTCTTTCTCTCTCTTTTCTTTCTTTCTTTCTCTCTTTCTATCCCTCTCTCACTTTCTTCTTTCCTTCCTTCTTTCTTTCTCTCTCTCTTCTTTCTTTTTTTCTGTCTCTCTTTCTCTCTCACACACACACTCTCACTTTCTTCTTTCTCCCTTTCTTTCTATCTCTTTCTATCTTCTTTCTTTCTATCTTTCTTTCTCTCTCTTCTTTCTTTCTCTCTTTCTCTCTCTTCTTTCTTTCACTCTCTTTCTTTTTCTCTTTCTTTCGATCTTTCTATCTCTCTATCTCTCACTTTCTTCTTACTTTCTTTCTATATCTCTCTTTCTCTCTTTTCTTTGTTTCTCTCTTTCTATCCCTCTCTTATTTTCTTCTTTCCTTCCTTCCTTCTTTCTCTCTTTCTTTCTTTCTTTCTTTCTTTCTTTCTCTTCTTTCTTTCTTTCTCTCTCTCTTTCTTTCTCTCTCTCTCACTATCTCACTTTTTTCTTTCTTTCTTTCTTTCTATCTATCTCTTTCTTTCTCTCTCTCTTCTTTCTTTCTTTCTATCTCTTTCTCTCTTCTTTCTTTCTATCTCTCTTTCTCTCACTTTCTTCTTTCTTTCTATCTCTCTTTCTCTCTTTCTTTCTCTCTCTCTCTCTTTCTATCTTTCTTTCTCTCTCTCTTTCTTTCTTTCTCTCTCTCTCTTTCTTTCTCTCTCTCACACACTTTCTCCTTCCTTCCTTCCTTCCTTCCTTCCTTCCTTCCTTCCTTCCTTCCTTCCTTCCTTCCTTCCTT